GGCAGTTTTTCTTCTGAACTTCTAATTTATTTTTTTCAGTCTAGTTCAGTCTGTTTTAAACTCGGTTAATTTCGAGAAGCGTCCCTCTCAACTACTCAGTGGGGGGGGGCTGTATATTTGCCATGGGACTACTGTGTGTTGCAAAGGATTCTAGGAAATGCTCTAGAGTACATAGAGGGCTATCCTAAGCAGGTCTACTCAGAAGAAAGTCCATTTTTATTCTGTGGGGCTTACTGCCATGAAAATGTCTTAGAATTCCTGGCAGAGTTCCTTTGGAGTGTGCTGACCTGGCCGGCATCATTGTGCACAAGGACACAGTGTAGAACGCATCCAGTGCTCCCCTGATCTTACTCTGCAGTCTGAAGATATGGGCTCTAGTCTGCATAGACTTGCTGAAAAGAAACTTTTCTTAAGCTTTGAGGTGGTAGAAGACTTCTGTGTGTTTTGCTGTGTCCTGTGCAGCTGTAGAAGTAATGGGAAGGTGCCTCTGGGAGAGATTATCTGTCATTACTGTGTGCAATTCTGGTCACCACACCTCAGAAAGGATATTATAGCATTGGAAAAAGTGCAGAAAATGGCAACTAGAATGATAAAAGGGTTGGAACACTTTCCCTATGAAGAAAAGTTAAAGCGCTTGGGGCTCTTTAGCTTGGAGAAACGACAACTGAGGGGAGACATGGGATAGAGCAGGTAGAGAAAGTACTTTTCTCCCTTTCTTACAATACACAAACTCGTGGGCACTCAATGAAATTTCCGAGCAGTCAGGTTAGAAAGGGTAAAATGAAGTATTTCTTCACCCAAAGAGTGATTAACACATGGAATCCATTGCCACAGGAGGTGGTGGCAGCTGCAAGCATGGATGGCTTTAAGAGGGGATAAACATATATGGAGCAGAGATCCATCAGTGGCTATTAGCCACAGGGTATAGATAGGAACTCTCGGTCTGGGGCAAGTGATGCATTGTATTCTTGGTGCTTGGGGGGCAACAGTGGGAGGGTTTCTAGTGTCATGGCCCCACTGCTGGACCTCCTGATGGCACCTGGTATTTTTTGGCCACTGTGTGACAGAGTGTTGGACTGGATGGGTCATTGGCCTGATCCAACATTGGCTTCTCTTATGTATGTTCGTATGTTATATTCTTCTCAACCCAATATGAAAACAACTGTTCTAGTTTCTAAACAACTGCTGGCTTTTCATCCCTTTCTCAAAAATACATTGCAAAACAAAATACATCTCATCATTTGTTTTTCTGTTAAAAATCTGTTTATAGTTTGAAAGGGGGCAGAATATGTATTTTAGTGAGATCAAAACTCGCAGTATGTTGCCTAATACTTGCTGCATGTTGAATAGATTTGGGTTTCTCTGGGCTCCTGTCCCCTTCAGTTAATTTTCAAATTTATGCACTTTGCATATGCTAAATCATAGATTTATGTAGCTAACAGGAGGATTAAAACATTACAACTGAGAGTACCTTTGATAGTCTAAAATCAAGTTACCAATAAAACCTTGCTTTATTCTAATTAGGGTTAGATTTTCACCTTGTGTCAGTTTGGTGTAGTGTTTAGGAGCACGGACTCTAATCTGGGAGAACTGGATTTGATTCCCCACTCCTCCACATGCAGCTGCTGTTGTGACCTTGGGTCAGTTACAGGTTATTTCAGAGCTGTTCTCTCACAAGCAGTTCTCAAGAGAGTTCTCTCAGCCCCATCTACCTCACAGAGTGTCTGTTGTAGGGAGGGGATGGGAAAGGGGATTGTAAGCTGCTCCGAGACTCCTTCGGGTAGTGATGGGCAGGGTATAAATTCAATCTCTTCTCCTTCTTATGCGAGCATGATACTATCCAGCAACATGTTAAACTGAAGAATTTTGGTTACTGATGCAATGCACTTGCTTTCTTATATCATAGGGTAACTGGGCAGTGGGTTTAGGTATCATTTACATGATGTTGCACATGGTTTGTTCAGATTAAACCTGACACACCCACAAAATCCCTCTCACTGTTGCTCAACAACATGCACATTTACTAAAAAAAATTATAAGAAAAATTATGGGGCTGCGGTGGCTCAGTGATTAAGACGCTGAATTGAAGACCAAAAGGTGGGTAGTTCAGCGGATCGAGACCCGAGTGCCGCATGATGGAGTGAGCTCCCTTCTCTGGCCCCAGTTCCTGCCAACCTATCAGTTCAAAAGCAAGAAATTGCAAGTAGATAAATAGTGGGAATGTAACAGCATTCCGTGTGCCTCAGCATCTAGTCATGCCAGCCACATGACCACGGAAATGTCTTCAGACAGCGCTGGCTCTTCGACTTGGAAACAGAGTTGAGCACCATGCCCTAGAGTCGGATTCGGCTGGCTTTCGAGCAAGGGAAACCTTCACCTTTACTGTGACTATAAAAGTTACTCATACTAAATTTTGAAAAAGACAATATAGTAAACAAAATGCAGCTTTATTTATTTATTTGATTTATATCCCATTCTCCCCACCAAAGCAGTCTCAGGGCAGCTTACATAAAAATTTTAAAACAGAACAAATATACATAAGTGACGAGGCATTAGTAGCAACCAGTTACAGTAGGGAGTGCAGTCACCATTTGGCGTTCAGAGTGCCATCTCAGTCCGGTTCATGTTGGCAGGGTACAGGCTGTCGGTGGTGGTATTAAGTCGCAGGGCTTTAATAACACACACCAGTTTCATTAACTGTATAAACATACTGGGCACACAATCCAATGTTTAAAAATACCAGATTCGTTTACCTATTTTGGGAGGTGGTTTTTCTGATTTGTCCTTTCACATCCACCAGGCAGCTGCTCCTAATTTTTAAAAAGTTGGAAACGGTTCAATGAGAGAAAGCAAGGCTGTTGAATATAGAAAGATGCTTCGGTAAAGGGATAGGGACTGTGGACTGTACTACTGTGCACAGGACACACTGTCTGTTGCTGTAAATATAGGCCTAGTATGTAATTTCTGCATTGTCTAACATGTCATGTTCACACTTATGCCTTGTTTCAATTCATTTTTTTTAATGCACATTTTTAACTATGGCTGGGGGCCTCAAGAGCTGGAAGCAGCCGGCCCCCTCTGGATGTCTGAGAGGGGCCTCGCTGATGGATGTATAAACAGCCTATTCCGGATCAGACCCTCTAGTCTGCCACTCCTGAGATTAACCATCTCCTTTTCCTTGCCCCCAGCATCCGCTGGCTAGAGACATGCTGCCTCTGGTTATAAAAGCTCTATTGTTTTCCTACCCTTGTGTTTGAGTAGTAGTAGCTTCTCTGATAAGGAGCTGTGGTGGCTCAGAGGTTAAGACGCTGAGCTGCAGACCGGAAGGTCTGTAGTTCGGCAGTTCGAGACCCTAGTGCCGTGTGACGGAGTGAGCTCCCGTCTCTGGCCCCAGCTCCTGCCAACCTAGCAGTCGAAAGCAAGAAATTGCAAGTCGATAAATAAGTACCACTTCAGTGGGAAGGTTCCGTGTGCCTCAGCGTTTAGTCATGCTGGCCACATGACCACGGAGAAGTCCTCAGACAGCACTGGCTCTTTGGCTTGGAAACGGAGATGAGCACCGCCCCGCCCCCCAGAGTCGGATTCGACTGGCTTTCGAGCAAGGGAAACCTTTACCTTTACTTTACCTTTTTTCAGCTCCTCTGATGTTTTGGGGGACACATTTCGGCTATGCAAAGGTGCTTTTAAGGTGATGGTAGAAACAAAACTGCCAGTCTCTCTTGCAACTCACCTTGCAAGGGCCATTGCTATAGCAGTGGTAATCCTGATCATAGCAGTGCAGTGGAGCAGGGTTATTTGAACCAAATGAAGAGTAGTTGGCTGTGCTCATTTCTCTTGTATAGTTTCAGGTGGGCAGCCATGTTGGTCTGCAGTAGGAGAACAGGATTCCGAGTCCAGTAGCACCTTAAAGACCAACAAGATTTCCAGGTTGTAAGCTTTCAAGAGTCAAAACTCTCCCTTGTCAGATACCTGTCAAAGGGAGCTTTGACTCTCGAAAGTTTATACCCTAGAAATCTTGGTGGTCTTTAAGATGCTACTGGACTCGAAATCTCGCTCTTCTCTTGCCTAGTAAAGTAAAGGTAAAGGTTCCCTTGCTCGAAAGCCAGTCGAATCCGACTCTAGGGTTGCGGTGCTCATCTCCGTTTCAAAGCCGAAGAGCCAGTGCTGTCCGAAGACGTTTCCGTGGCCATGTGGCCGGCATGACTAAACACCACGGCGCACGGAACGCTGTTACCTTCCCACCGAAGTGGTCCCTATTTATCTACTTGCAATTTCTTGCTTTCGAACTGCTAGGTTGGCAGGAGCTGGAACTAGAGACAGGAGCTCACCCTGTCTTGCGGCACCCGGGTCTTGAACCGCTGAACTACTGACCTTCCACAGCCTGCAGTTCAGCGTCTTAACCACTTGAGCCACCGCAGCTCTCTCTTGCCTAGGATGCTGCTATAGCCGTTACAATGGACCCCTTTGCTTTTGACCTGATAGCTGAGGTGGAGGATAGGACTGGGTGGTCTGGGCATTGGGGGAAATCAATGGAATTATTGCTGACCTATTTCACAGAGACGGCTTTCTTGATTTCATAGACCGCCGCCCTAAGGATGCATTGTCGGAGCAAGCGTTTGCCTCCCGCTTTCTTTTTGTTCTTTCCTCCCCAATAACAGAAACTTAAGAATATCAGCCCACAGAACTTCTTAAAATATTACGTTCCAACCAAAGATTTGAATTCGGAGATACATATAGAAGCCAGAGTTCACAGATGACTGAATGCAATATATTCGGTGTAAGGTGATTTACAATATTCCCTTCGAAGTGGAACATGGAAAGGCTGAGCTGTTTAACGCACAGCATTCCTGTTCTAAGACCGATCCTCGTTGAAGTAACATCGGTTTTTAAAAAGGTGTCTGCCGTGTCTTTTATTTGCCTTTACAAAGCCTTATAAAACAAAGTCTGAAACGTATGCAACTCGATCCTGGGTTAAAGTCCATAACTTTCTTCTCCTCTAGAATGAAGTCACCCTGCTGAGAAATGAAGTGGCACAGCTGAAACAGCTGCTTCTGGCTCATAAAGATTGCCCTGTAACCGCCATGCAGAAGAAATCTGGCTATCATAGTGAGTAATGTTCCATTACCTATAGCCTCCGGCTGCACCAGTGAAAAACCGCCAAAGCAAATAGAGAAAACATTAAAAACTAAGAAGGGATGTTCGGATTACTTCACTTTTCAGCGTAACCGTTTCTACCAAGGTTACTGCAAGACCAACAGCAATAATGAACACTGAAGATCTTTCTGGACCCCGAGAAATTTTTAAAAGCTGCACGCCAGTTCCTGTTATATAGATCTCCTAGTTATAATGTAGCTTTACGAATACTGGAGGGATGCATGTTCTTTGAATATAGGTAGTATTTAATTCTGTAATTTTAAGAAATACAGCTACAACTGAAGTTTTTTTTCTCTTCCATTTATCTCACAAAAAGGCTGCAGACGTGGTGTGTGGGAAGGTGTTCGGCTCTTTGTGCAGCTTACGCATCTTTTCATAAAGCATTTGTTTATATTGCCACTGTATGGATAGCCCTTGGAAGGAAAATAAGCTTTAATATTTATGGATTCAGGGATGTAGAAGTAAATCTGAAGCGTTAGGAAAAAATGAAGTGCTTAGCTCATTTACCCTTTTCAGCATTTTAGAGGTTAATTGTGTGCTTCTTTCTTGATACTTTTTGTTTGTTTTTTTTGGAAACAATACACAGCTCTAGAACCAGCTGCTGTTGTAGAATAAATGGCCAATTTTGTCCATTGTGCACAAATTTGTTACAAATAACTGAGCTGGGAATGCATTAGGCAACATTCATAATATATAACCCACAGCTTTCGTTTTTATGATTTAGTGATATTTCAGGATATTTGTAAATGTGAAGATTGTTTCTGCCATATGTAGCCACTTCATTTTAATTTGCCAGTGTCAGTAATTTAGGAGAATAAAAGAACATTTTGTATTGCATGCAAACAGTTCCTCAGGTGCTTGCGATAAAACTTAATGGCCACCATCTTTACTTGTAGTCGCTGTAAGCAGTTTCATCAGAACGGGCAATATTTTTTAATTTAAAAGATTCGGGAGATTTAGCAGCTCTCCGTTGCCATATATATTTAGGACACTGATTTTTGTCAGTTTTGAGCTTATAAATCTCAGTCCTTTTGATCTCCACTCATTTTGACAGGATGGAAAGTGGCATCTTGGAGCAAATTGAAACCTGTGCAGAAATATGTTTTGAATGTATATTAACAATGATTGTTGCAGGGATGAGGCCATTATGGCTCCCGTCTGACAAAACAACATGATTTCGTATAGAGGCTGCTCCAGGAGCACATTATGCAGGCATCGTTTCTTGAATGAGCCTGGCTGCCTTGAATTTGATAATATAAAAGTGAACGATCTTCCTAGATGTCTGCTTTAAATACTTGGAACTTTAAAGCACTTCAAAATACATGCCGTGCACTCCTAAATCAACAGCCATTTTTCCATAGGAAGCGGGTTGTGCAACCAGTAATGTTGAGCATTGCCATCCATGGCAGTTAGATATTGGATTAACGTTTGCATAAACAGCTGTACTTGCATATGGTAAATATATAATAAAGGATTCATATTGAGTCAGATTTATAGTCCATGGACTATAGAACTCTCTCATCCTAGGTGCTTAGGAATATTCAGAGCACTCACTCTGTGATAACTATGGTAACATTTTGGACTTGGTGCAGATTCTTAACTGATCAAGTTCAGGTTCATTGAAAGAAATACACATGTGTGTTTACTGCACATTAAAGAAGTCAAAAGTGCCTAAATACCTACACTTGTAAAGATACATCTTGCAGTAGAAAGTGGCAAAATTGTGAAGACAAAGGGACGGTTGATTAATTGTTGGATCAGTTGGACAATGCTATTTAAGATAGTAATCTGTGGTTGTACAGTTAATATATGAAGTTGTATGGCATGTAAAGAATGAGTCATATTCTGCCTTGAGTGTTACCAACTCAGTTTTATAAATCTTAATAAGAGATTTTATAAACTTGCCTGAAAGTTAAAGTTTTGTGATAGCCTCTTCTAGGAAGCAACAGAAAAATAAATTGTTCTAAAAATGTCGGCTTCTTAATTTTCTAGCATAGAGAAACTGTGAGAGGATGTATTTTCTGGTCTAACTTGATAACCTTTTCAAACACAATTTAAGGCTTTCAAGCAGTTCAGTTCCCAAATAATGAGGTCTGGATTAAAGTAAATTTAAACATGCTCAAACAGCCAAATGGTATTGTTAAGAGTTTCCCACCAGACAGATGGCAGTGTCCTCTAGCTGCATAAGCTTGTAGAAAGTTTCAGCTGGAATGCCAGAAAACACAGAGAAGTAGAAATAATATTGAGCACTCAGAACACATTCAGATATGTGATCTGTTCTATGTTCTCCACGCCCGTAGGCAGGATTTTGTGGTTTGCGGGACAAATTCTTTTGTGTATGGGGCTTGAATTTTACAGTTAAATATATATATATATAATATTAACCCCAGCTCCCCGCAATCTCCTCACCCCACCACTCCTTTTCTGTAATTTCCCTTCCATTTTTGGAAGGAAATCTTGTGGGGCTGTCCCTTTAAGGAAGGGGGTGGAGAACGATAGCCCGACCGTAGTTACGGGCCAGATGTTCTCCTTAGATACCTACATTATTTACTATACCACAGCCTATTCAGTGTCTTAGCATCCAACTATAATTACATTTCAGTGGGTTTACTGAAAGAAATCCTGGTGAACTGGAAATATCGCTTGACAAGCTTACATTGGCAGCTATTCTTCCATTGGCAATCTGTTATTTAGCCACTTGGAAAAGCCATTTTAGTCATAACGCTTGATTTGAATTCTGTGTGTGAAATGATATTCAGAGGGAAGTATCCGTCCTCCAATGTTTGATTGCTTTTGGACAGCAATCTTTGTGATGTAGGATTCTAAAGATGATAAAAATCCTTCACAGCTTTGTCAGCCTGATTAAATTTTCCCCCCATCTTAGAAAATAATTTGTACTAAGAGTGCAGGATATCTTTTTAAAAATTAGGGTCTGGGTGGATGTCTGGCCATTACCATGGCCATGAAAATCAAGGACGTGTGTTCCAGAAGCAACAAGCTGTTTAGAAATGAGGGGGCAATGTTCGTACTGAAAGAAATTATGCAGGAACTTAAGGTTTTGGGTGGCTGCTGTTAGCATTGTTTAGTGCCACAGGCTTGGATGGATTTCAGCTTCTGATTCAGCAACTGGCACTCAATAAGATGTTGATGTTTTCACCCAGGGCTTTTTTTGTAGAAAAAGCCCAGCAGGAACTCATTAGCATAATAGGCCACACCCAACAGCAGGAACTCGTTAGCATATTGGGCCACACGCCTGACAACACAGCTCATTAGCACATTAGGCCGCACCCCCATGTTACCAGAAGTGTGGTCATCCAGCCACACCCACCTTTTGCTCCTTATTCTGTTGACCTTGTTTGTTGTCAAAACCCAGGGCCTTTTTTTGTAGCAGGAACTCCTTTGCATGTTAGGCCACACACCCCTAATGTAGCCAATCCTAATGAGTTTCTGCTGTTGGGTGTGGCCTATTATGCTAATGAGTTCCTGCTGGGCGTGGCCAACTCAGGAGCCAGCTGGAACTCCATTCCTGTGCGTTCCTGCCCAAAAATAGCCCTGTTTTCACCGCACATTAAACTCTTCTTAATGTGTGTCCTGGTAGGTTTAAGATATTATCAGGGCATACTAGATGGTCTGAAAAGGTCAGCTAGTGTCTCACCTTCATGATCTCTGATTCTTCAGAGAGCCAGTTTGATGTAGTGGTTAGGAGCACGGACTCTAGTCTGGGAGAACCGGGTTTGATTCCCCACTGCTCCATATGCGGCTGCTGGCGTGACCTTGTGTCAGTCACAAGTTATTTCAGAGCAGTTCTCGAAGGAGCTCTCTCAGCCCCATCTACCTCACAGGGTATCTGTTGTGGGGAGGGAAAGGGATTGTAAGCTGCTCTGAGACTCCTTTGGGTAGTGAAGGGAGGGGTATAAATCCAATCTTCTCCTTCCCCCTCCTCCTCCTCCTTCTTCCCAACTTTCTAGGCTGGGAATTCTGTAGTCCCCCTTGGAATATTTTCCATTATCTATTAAGATGCTTCTCTGAATACATAAGACTCAATTGCATATATTCTGCCCTCAGTGATGTTACCATGCTTATGGCTTTTATCTAATTAGGTCTGCTATAAAGTTAGCCTTGTCTTCATAGGCTAAACACCTGTGCTTCTTCTCCCCAAAAGATATAAATACTTGCCCTTTGGCAGGTCTTTGTTGTTGTTTTTCTGTAGAGTCCAAATGTGCCATCAGAAAACATATCTAGCCACCTCTGTATAGCCAGTTAATATTCCTTACCAATGTGTTTGTTATTTTACATTGTGGGTTTTTTTTTTCCAGTTTACTGTTTTATCTGTTATGTGGTACTTATGGTGATTTCAGTATTTTTATTTTATTTTGCCCCTTAATCACTTGCATACCATTTTTGTGCACTGGGAAAGCAGCAGCAGATAAAACCTACCCACGTACCTCATCCTTACTTCCTCAGATATGCAACCAGGCTTTCTATCTGTATGTAAAGAAGAGCAATAGAAGTGACAGCCTTTGAGGAATCCTTGGAATCTCCTGTACCAGAGTATTATAAGTTTGGATTGAAAAACATTTGGCAGGTCATAGTGGAGATTTTAGGTATAACAAAACCGCGCCTGAGTGGCTCTCAAAGTTGTCTTTGCCTTGCTCTGTTCCTGCAAGGGGTTCTGTTGTTGTTGTTGTTACCTACCAGTGCTTTGGTCTCTCCGTATTAATTCTTGTGTGGGAATTAAATTAAAAGTGGGACTTTTCCCCCTTTAAGGTTAATTCATTGTGTTTCATCATCAGGATTGCCCCCCCACCCCCCTCCCCCATTAGCTTACTTCTTGACTGAATACTTCAAAGTCTTGTACTGGGGTAGGACTAGCTGATTTTCTAATCATATATATGCCTTCCTAATAATTTTTTGTTATCTGACTGTATTTCACTAAGAAGTGCATAAAACAATTCCCTATGCAGAATTGTATGTTATGTACTATTTGGAGCATTTCAGTAATTTGTCTCTCTTGATAACTTATTTGTCTCTCAGTTTGACTGAACACACAAGGCCGTGCCAAAATATCATTCTCAGGAAGTGTATAATAATATAAAACATGTAACCAAATTGATACAATGGGTGTGCAGACCAATTGGGCAATCCCCCTAAATACTAATATCTAGATTTTCAGCCCACTCAGTCGTAGCTGGGGAGAGTTTAAAGAGCTCCGTCACATCTCAGTGGAAAGCATGACGTTCACAGTCGTATTCAGGTCCTGGTATTTTGCCCCATTTAAACAACAGGTCTGCACTACTGACAAAGCCTGTTCGTATTCTATTAGCCATCTTCCATACTTTACATGGCAAGTCAAATCCTGCGGGCCTTTTGTTGGTATCAGGTTATGGATATCGGGTGGAACTGATAGCACCCATGTTTGCAGCTATTCATTCCCTAGATCTATTGAAGGATTTCTGTGCAGGTCTTATTGCTGGGTGTTGGGATCTTAGTCTGGATAGGCCCGCATTAGCCATGTCTTTGTGGATGCAGTTCTAGCTTACCTCCTCATGGTGTACCCTGGATAATGCTAAAAAGCTAGAACACATAGGGAAACAATGTATATATATATAATTTTTCCCCCATCAAGTCACAGCTGATTTATGGCGACCTCAGAGGGTTTTCAGGACAAGAGACGTTTGGAGGTGGTTTGCCCTTGCCTTCCTCCACATCATGATCCTGGTATTCCTTGGAAGTCTCCCATCCAAATACTAGCCTGGGCTGACCCTGCTTTGCCTCCGAGATCAGGCTAGCCTGTGCTATCCCGGTCAGGGTTTCATAATAACCATAATAGTAGCTAAACTCAAAGCATGCTAGGCAGAACCTGTTCAATTCAGCTTGTTTTTTAAATTTTGATATGGATCATTATCTAAGCAATATTCTCACAAATGTGCCTGGTATAGATGCTAGTAGTGGTGCAGGTGACTGGAAGCAATTGTTTTATTCCTTTAAAAATCAGTTTTACAGGAAAAAGACTTCGATATCCTACATCTGTAGCTTAAAATTAATCCTACCCTTGGTTATACATAAGGGACCACTTTTGCTTACTCAAAGACATCTTTGAATTCCTTAAAATGTCATGCAGTAAAAATCGAACCCCAGTTGCATTTAGAGTGCTCTTCCTACTGCATCATTAATGTGAATATAATTGCATTGTTTTTATTTCTTCAGCCGCAGATAAAGACGATAGTTCTGAAGACATTTCCGCACCAAGTAGTCCTCACACAGAAGCTATTCAGCATAGTTCTGTCAGCACTTCCAATGGAGTAAGTTCGACTTCCAAGGCAGAAGCAGTGGCAACATCCGTTCTCACCCAGATGGCAGACCAGAGTACAGAGCCAGTGCTTTCGCAGATTGTAATGGCTCCTCCGTCCCAATCGCAGCCTTCGGGAAGTTGATTAAAAACTTGTGTCGTTTCTTAGATATTCCTTAGCAGCTTCAAAGGGAAAACCAAGGAAATCAGCCTTCGCCTAGGAGAATTTCTGTAGCTTAAAAATTATTCATCTGTAAAATTCAAACTTGAATTTGGCTTTGAAAGTTGGCAAACAATGGAATTGCACAGCAGGTTCTGGTCTCTGAATAGATGCCCAGGTTAGTTGTTTTTTTCTCCATTTCTAATTAGGATCGCTAGTTATTTTCAGTGCTCGTTGTGTAAAGTGTCGGTACAGTTGAAATGTACTTGCTTCTCTAGCATTTGGTGGTATTCCAGGAACCATTGAGATCAGTTATTTAATGCTCGTCCCCAAAACTGTGATCGTAATCTTGTAACATTTTATACCAAAGTTCTGCATAGATTCCTATTGACTTTGTATAGTCAACAAGATCATAAAGCACTAGGCAAGGGGGGGGAGAGAAAGGAACAGTAAATTTGCTTTGAGTCTTTTTGCCTTTATATTGTTTTGCACATTCTGAGAGGAAAACCATTGGGAGAATATGTTTGATGATATTGTGTAGCATTTTCTTTGGCTTTTTATTGTTTGGGTGTTGTTGGTTTTGTTTTTGTTTTTTAAAAGAATTTTGTTTATAGGGCCAGTACAGTATATGATATACAGTACTTTTTTATGCACATATGTAATCTTGATCAGGGTCATTACTAGCTAGATTTTCCTTTAAAAAAAAAAAACCTTACGTTGGCTTAGTTAGCACTTCCATTTTCAAAATCATGAGCTTCATTTCTGTAGCTACTCTCATCTCACTAGACTGACAAAGAACAGCAGACAGATACTCTACAGGGTTATGAAAGATGGAATACTTCTTTCCAAAAGTCAATTTGATGTTTTGTGGATTCTTGAGTCTTTAAAGTGAGGATCTTGTTCATGCACCAAAATGGTATGGATGCCAGGGAAGTTTTTAAAAATTCCTCTTATCAAGCAACTAAAGACTTTTTTTTTCTTTTGGATTTTTTTTGTCATTGTCAAGTATTTGCAAGGTAACTTGTACTTTTATTCTTGTGTAAGCACTGTCACCCTTTAGTAGCAAATTTTTGATAACTTTCTTGTGGAAAAATAAAAAAATCGATATCTACCGTTCCGTGGAAACAATGTAATTATAGTGTGAAGTGTGTTTGTGCGTGTCAGAGAGAGAGAGAAAGTCAGGGCGAGAATGGTTCTGTAGTTTCCGCCAGCAATCTGTGCTTGAATGTTTTAAAGATGCCTTCAATGTGATGCTGGCTTCCTAGAGGACTGAAGTTTTGGAAATGTTATTTACTGTGTGAACTTGGATAACTAACATTCCATTATGTAGTTTGTTTCTGATGAGATGATTGTAGGTACACTTTTTTCTCACTATCCAATCATCTGTAGGATACTGAGGTGTTGTTTTTTTAAAAAAATGTGCCATTATCTATTTTAATTCTGTACTCATGTTCAAAAATACAGTATAATATTTTATGATTCAGTTGTAAAAGAACAAAAAATTAGGTGTGTGCTTTCCACATTAAAAAAACACCATTGTATAATAGCAAAGTAAATTACTCAGTAGCAACATCTGGCAGTAAAACAGAACTCTTATTATGTATATAACAAAACACTTTGATGCATTTAATTGTGAGTTGTGTAACTCATTTGTTCTACTCTGTTCTACACTCTGTTTTTAACCTAGGTGCCATCAAAACTATGAAATGAGACATTCACTTTTTAAATCATTGAATTTTAATTGGTATTACTAGCAGAGGACAACTCTTAAGTTGTATAATGTACAACCAAATAAGAATGGAAGCTGGATGAAGTCATCTTAAATTATGTATATATCATTTCAGTGCTTTAAGTCTGAAAAATAAGAATTTAAATATTTTGTGTATTGAAAATGTAAGGATACATGTTTTTTGCGTAGGTTGCAAAAAGTATTCTGAATGTGTTCATTTTATCAGTTTTTTTAAAAAAATGAATTTTGGAAAATACATTTTCAGAACTTTTGTGTGCTTTTTTTAAAGTACCAGAAGGGCAGTGAGAAAATCTCAGGCACAAGATGTGAATTCTGCAAGATAATTCTACAGATAATTGCCCTGATCCAGCTCTGGTCATACCAGAATATGGTTGGGGGATGGAGATGTGTTATGGATGCTCACCTAGTGGAAAGCAGTGCAGTGCAAATGGAAGGCACGTTCTTGTGCTTCTATGTGTCCAATTCCACACGCACATCTCCATTTTGGATCAGGGCAAGTGTCTCCCATTGCAGATTGGGTGAACTAGTTGTGGACCAATATGGTTACATTTGCTCCCCTGAATATTATGGGCATAATTCACCAGACACTGCTCTGCTACCTCCTTTCATCTCTGTTCCCAAGCAGCCCACGGAAATGAATGGTGTTTCTGCAGTAGCAATGCCTGGTGCTATAATAAGGCAGTCCTGTTTTAAAACTCTTATTTAATATAAAAATTGTTTTTGGTTCTTTCTTTTTTTTAGTAATAAAGCTGTTGCTGTTGTAAAGTAAATCTAAATATGTGTGAGGATACATGTAAATGATTTTAATGGTAGGGTTAGTACAAAAATCCTATCTTATGTTCAGCAAGCAGGAAAAAAACCCTCAAGTTGTACAACCATCAATTCCGTTTTAAAATGTATGTCACACTACTTCTGTACATCGCATCTGAGATCTTTGCATTTGACATGTTTCACAAACTGTACTGTTATCTTCCGTGTGCAGTTTGCATGAGTAAATCATCAGAGAATAAAATCTATCTTTAAATTGTACCTATTTTATTGCAAGAATAACTTCTGAAAAGCTGAGATGGCATCAGATTTCTTTCCTGCTGTGAGGCTCTTTTCCACTTCTGTAGAAAATTGACACATTACCAGAAAATAAGATTCATCTTTTGTACAGTTCGATTCAAGCCATGCTGATCTTAATAGTAGTTCTAACAGCAACTGTGCTGGAGAGTATTTCTTGCTATTGGGGGAAGGATGTTGGGAAAACTAGCGTTTTGATCTTTAAAGTACCTCAAGACTCTGTTATGCTTGGTACAGCAGACCAGTGTTTATAACATAAGCTTTTGGTGGTGCCCCCCATGCATGTAAGTAAGTATAATCCTGAACAAATTTCTGTAAAAAAACCCTAATACCATATATTACTTTTATCCAATGTTGAAATAGATTTTCATTTACATAAATTCAGTTATCCCAACAACAGAACAAAGTTTGAGTCCAGTGGTACCTTTAAGACCAACAAAGTTTTATTCAAGGTACAAGCTTTCATGTGCATGCACACTTCATCATCGTTGTCCTGTGCAGTCCCACATGGGTACTGTGCTGGCGTGCAGACCAGCTACCAGAATATTTTCTAAATAGCATATTAACAAAGCAGGAGGAGCCCCTCCCAACTGGAGACATGGGTACCATTTCCTGCCCAATGGTTATGTGTTCCAGGGAGGGGCTCTGTACACTCCCTCAGTTCTCTCTTTGCCAGTGCTAGAGAAGAGCACTCCTTAACTAGCTCCTCAGTTTTTTCTTAACAAAGAACAAAAGAAGATGGCATTGTTCAAGGAATGTTTGCCTCGTTCTACAAAAATGACAAAGACAGATGAGCACTCTGTGTGTTTTCTCTGTTTGGGTGAAAGCCATAATGTTGCAGCATGTAAAATATGCCAGCAGTTTACCCCAAAAGCGAGGGCTGACCACGCCTCCTGCCTAAATGCAGCTTTTTGGGGAAAAGCCCTTTTGACATCAGCTAACCCGGCAGCAAAATCATCTGCCCCAGTGAAACAGCCTGTATTCTCGGCACCTAAACCAATCCCCGATCATGCCTTGTGCGTGCCATTGATAGTCTTTTCCATCTCGGTTCCACAATAGGACCTGAATCATAAGCAGTCTGGGACACCCAATAACACGCCGAACAGGTTGTCCTTGGAACAGTAAAACGTAGATTGAACTCAAAACACAAATCGATCATACTCGGTGGATCCAACAAAACATGTGGTATCGAAGATAGTGGAGCCAAAGGAATCAGCTCTGGAGGCTGGGTTGAAAGCTGCCAGACACAGGACTCCTTGCACTCCATCTCCTGTTTGCCTCTCACCACCAAGATCTCCATCGGTGTGTGAATTACCACCTGGTCAACTTCCAAAACTTTCCGCCCCAACGTCTCAATGGGCTCATTTGGGATCATGGCAAACAATATCCTTGCTGTCATCCTTCAAAATGCCATCCAGGATGGTCATAACCATCAGGATGAAGCATGGAACCAATGAGCCATGTGATGGAATGGCCACAAACACCAGGGTACTGTGCCCCACGGTCAGGAATAGTGAACTACGGTTCCGACGATGAGGAAGAGTGCAGATCCATAGTTAGTTCAGGAGTGGCATCGGAACCATCTCCTGATGACACAGTTGGAGACCGGGATCCAGTCCAAGTGAGGACATACGCTCCTACTCAGAACAAATGGTGTGGGTGGCACAATCTTTGTAGATCCAAGTCACATCTATAGATGCTAAACCCAGAGGTAAAATCCTGGGTAGACTCTATCCCAACACTCCGGGTTCAGTAGCCTTTCCTCTTCTTGAAGGAATTCTAGATATGGCAAAGGCAATTTGGAAAAAAAAACATCTTCTATCCCTGCCACATCCCAAAAAGTTGAAAATATGTATAGGGTGCAGCAGGAAAACTATACTTCCTTTTTACTCATCCTGCTCCATCCTCCTTGATAGCAGAGGCGATGCATGCCAAGCATAGAACTCCAGCTGATAAAGAAGGTAGAAAGGTTGATGCTGTGAGTCGCAAGGTTTATGCATCCTTGTCCTTAAACCTCAGAATAGCTAGCTATTAAGCCAATGTGTCTGCATACCAACTTTTCCTATGGGAAAAGATTGCTCCATACTTAGGTCAGCTTCCTGATGATAAAAAATCTTTAGCTAAAGTTATCCAAGCAGAAGCACTTAAACTATCAAAACAATTGAATGCCAGCAAGCATGCAGCAGATGCTTCAGCATGCACGATGGCCACAGCTAGAATCCTGAGGAGACATGCTTCAGTAAGGCCAACCACTCTCCCTCTTGAAACACGGACTCAGGTGGAAGACTTCCCTTTTGAGGGCACCTTGCTCTTCTCAGCTAGAACGGATGAGTTCCTACAACAAATTAAGAAAAATCAAACAGATGAGGTTCCAGCCTTCCTAACAGGGTTTCCAGCGCCCCTACTATTAACAAACATACCAGTATCCTTAGCAAAGGTCTTTCTGACAACCTTCTCAACAGAATTGCCGCAGCTCTACCTTGTGGTCCAAGTCGGCCAACCTCAGCAGCAGTCTTTGAAGGACCACACACAGGCTTCCAAGCCTGTTTTCTGACTATTACCAGATGGCAATCCACCTGAACCCACATTCCAAGACAGGCTGTCTGGTTTCCTACCACAATGGCACAATATTACATCCAATTCCTGGGTACTGTCCATAGTTACAGACTGTTATCATCGAGAGTTTGCTCACCCCATTGTAAGCATTAGCACAGGCAGTTGACAATATTTTCCCTGAATTGATCACGGAGTTACAAATTTTATTGATAAAGGGGGCAGTTTAAGCTCCTCTGCTTCACAGTTTGTTTATTATTCCAGATTTTTCCTGATTAATAAAAAAGATGGTGGTTTCAGTCCTAGTTTCAGTTTAAGGGTCTCAATTCCTTCCTCAGTGTGTGTAAAT